TGGCCTGGAACTCACTATGTAGACCAGGCTGGCCTTGAACTCACAGAAATCCACCTGCCTCTGCCTTCCAAGTGCTGGAATTAGAGGCATATGCCACCACGCCCAGCCATTATTTTTTTTAAAGAAATTAAAGTGGGGGGCAATTGAGGAAGACACCCAACAGCAACTTCAGGTCTCCACATACATTCCACATGTGCATGTGCAACTGCACATACATTCAAACATGTATATGCACATGTACACAGCACATATGCACATACAGCACACATGAATACACAGCATACATGCATATACATAATAAATAATACAAGTAATTTTGGAGCGGTCTTTTTGAGACAGGGTCTCCCTGTAGCCCCAGCTGTCCTAGAACTTACTATATAGACCAGGCTGTCCTTAAACTCACAGAGATCTGCCTGCCTCTGCCTCCCGAGTGCTGGGATTAAAGGTGTGCACCACCACGCCCGGCTTATTTATTATTTTTATTTTATGTATATGAGTGTATTGCCTGAATTTATGTGAGTGCACCTGTGTTGTGCAATACCACAGAGGTCAGAAGAGGCTGTTGGATTCCCCTGGAACTGGAGTTAAGAACAGTTTGTAGCCGCCATGTGGGTGCTGGGAATCGAACCCGGGTCCTCTGCAAGAGCAGTCAGTGCTCTTAACCTCTGAGCCATCTCTCCAGCCCCTACTTTAATTTCTTGAAGTAGAAACTCCAGCCAGTCTAGGTAGCCAGCCGGTACTCAGGGCTCCCCATCTCTGCATCCTAAGTGTTACCATACAGGCCTTGCCTGCCTGGATGTTATATGGGTTTGGGGGTTCAAATTCTGGTCCTCATTGCTTTATCAGCACTTTATTCCTTGAATCACCTACCCAAGGCTACTTTCTGATTACTTTGTGCACATCATGTAACAAAAGGGTCTGACGTCATTCTGCATGTTCAATGACCATTTTATGAAATCATTAATCTTATTACATGGGCTTCCTTGCACTATTTTTTTTTTCTCAACAGACCAAAAGGTCCAGCTTTTTATTGAGCACGTTAACAAAAGGTTTAGTCAAAAAGACTGAAACCCATGTCATCATCAGACTCCTCTGATTCTTCTTTCTTTGCTTCCACTTTCTTCTCTTCAGCCGGGGCAGGGGCAGCAGAGGGGGCAGGACCGCCTGCTGGAGCGAGGCACCAGCTGCCGGAGCAGGTCCACCAGCCCCTACATTGCAGATAAGGCTCCCAGTGTGGACATTAGCCAGGGCTTTTGCAAACAAGCCAGGCCAAAAAGGTTCAACATTGACACCAGCTGCTTTAGTGAGAGCATTGATCTTATCCTCCGTCACGGTGACCTCGTCATCGTGCAGGATGAGGGCGGAGTAGATGCAAGCGAGCTGGGAGGCCATGCTGCGGCCTTAGCTTCCTCGGAAGGACCGAGCACCTTGGCGGCAGCTGAACTATTCTTTTTTCACTATTGTTATTCTGTGAGAATTCAGTGAAGAATTACTTGAAGCAAGTTGATTTGTCTGAGAGAGCCATGAGCACAAGTTCTGTGATTTTTGAGGAAACAAAATGTACTTATCCTTTGTCAGAAGTATTAATTCAGACATGTATATATAATGTAAAGATGCCAAAGCTCTGTCTAAACACAGTTACAACATATAAATGAAAGTGGAAATTCCAGATTTTTTAGGATAATTTTTTAATAATCTCTCAGATTTTGTCACAGTATAAGCTGACTATGAGAATATATTGCTTCTATGTAGTATATAAATATTATGATTTGGAGAAGAAAAATTTAATAGTTAATGTCATAATTTATCTGTGTATGTATGTGCATGTACATGTGTATACAGGTGCTCATGTGTATGTATGTGTGTACATATGTATATACATGTGTTCAGAGGCCAAAGGTCAACTTCATGTGTCATTTCTGACGTGCCATCCACCTTTTTATTGAGACAGTGTGTCTAACTGACCTGGGGTTTGCCAGTTAGGCTAGGCTGACTAGTCAGCAGGCCCCCGAAGGTACTTGGATTATAAGTTCCTGCCCACACACCTGGCTCTCTTACATGGATTCTGGGGATCAAATTCTGGTCCTCGTGCTTTACCAACTGAGCTCTCTCCAGGAATCATTGTAATTTATTTAAGTGTGTTATTTGATTTGCTCATAATTATAATTGTACTATTCTCCATTTATGATTCTTGCTGGGTTTTTTTTCTTACAGCAAAGCATTCAGAGATAAAATCCTTGATGAAGCCTGATCCCAACCTGATCTGGATTGTCAGCATGATGGTTCTTGCCCAGCTGGTTGCATTTTACTTAGTTGAAAGATTTGGAATGGAAATGGGTTGGTTTGGGGGCTTTTGTTTTTGGCAGCTCCATTAACCAGTCAATGACAATGGCGATTCATGAAGTTTCCCATAATTTCCCCTTTGGCCATCACAAGGCACTATGGAATCGCTGGTTTGGAATATTTGCTAATCTCCCTTTTGGGGTTCCATATTCAATTTCTTATAAAATGTATCACATGGATCATCATTGATACCTTGGAGCTCATGGCATCGATGTGGATGCTCCTTCTGATTTTGAGGCCTGGTTTTTCTGCACCACTTTCAGAAAACTTATATGGATTATTTTTCAGCCTGTCTTTATTTTTTTTCGACCTTATTTTGTCAACCCCAAACCAGTTACCTATCTGGAAGCTCTCAATATTGTATTCCAGATCACTTTTAACATTACAGTTTTCTATGTTTTGGGAATTAAATCTTTGGCCTACATGCTCACAGCATCCCTGCTTGGCCTGGGTTTGAATCCAATTTCTGGACATTTTATAGCTGATCATTACCTGTTCTTAAAGGGGCAGGATACAAACTCATATTACGGGCCTCTGAACTTTCTCATGTTCAATGGGGGCTTTCATAATGAACATCATGACTTCCCTGGCATTCCTGGAAGAAGCCTTCCACTGGTAAGTAAATTTTGTGTACATATATATATATATATATGTATACTATATTATATTTATATTATTTTATATATAATAGTCTACTTATTGTATGATCCAAATTAGTTTTTTTTTTGTCTTTTTGAGACAGGGTCTCCCTGTAGCCCCAGCTGTCCTGGAACTCACTATGTAGACCAGGCTGGCCTTGAACTCACAGAGATCTGTCTGCCTCTGCCTCCCAAGTGCTGGGACTACAGGCATGCACCACCATGCCCAGCCAAATAAGTTTTTACTTGCTCATTTTTAATGAAAGATGGCATATTTTATCAAAGATTCACATCAAAGTGAAAATAAAGCACAGTGTACATTCAGTATGGGTTTTAAAAAATATTTTACTTATTTTTATTTTACGTGTATGAGTATATTGCCTGCATATAGGTAAGTGCACCCATGTCGTGCAATGCCCGCAAGGACAGAAGAGGCCATTGGATCCCCTGGAACTGGAGTTATGGACAGTTGCTAGCTAGCTGCCATGTGGGTGCTGGGATTCAAATCCAGGTCTTCTGCAAGAACACCTAGTGTTCTTAACTGCTGAGCCATCTCTCCAGCCCCTGTTCAGTGTCTTAACAGCTCAGTTTTACTAAGCTCCATTCTTTAGATCCTTAAGCTTAGTGGTTACACATAGGGTTCAGAAGTGTTAGAAGTTGTGCAAAATTTGTTATTTGGTAAAATAACTCAGAATTAGAAAAGCAGAATCCCTCTGTGAAGGACCAGTTCATCATGTTGAACTGATGGGCTTTGTTAAAAATGGGTGGGTTTTTTAGTTTATTCTTTGATAATTTCATACACATATGCAGTGCAGTTTGACCATATCAACCCGTACTTCCCCTTCAACTCCTGACAGACCTAGCCTACCATGTCCTACTTCCAATTTCACATCTCCTTTCCTAGCCCATTGAGTCCAACCAGTCCTGTCCTTATTTTCATTGGTGTAGGGACATCACTGGAGCATGGGCAGCCTAACAAGAGCCCCTTCCCAGAAGAAAATTGACTCTCCCTATCCCAGCAGCCTTTAATTGCCAAGGCCGCTCAGCTAGATGTATGGCTTCGTGAGCCCCTCCCCAACTATGGTGGGTTTTTAGTATGCATTGATCTTGTGTAGGTCTTGTGTGGGCAACCACAGCCATTGCAAACTCATCCGTGCAATGACCCTGACATATAGAGAAGACACTGTTTTGCAACATTCTGCCCTATCCCCGCGCTCCTACGATCTTTCCTCCCTTTTATGAAGCGCAGATGAAATGACCTGCATGACTGCTCCAAAGTGAATGGACACCAGGTTCCAATATTACACCCCTCCTCCGAAAGGACTGTCCCTTTCCTTTGGTAATTGTCCTTCGCATAATGTTCCTTTAGTGTAACTATATTGTGGTTCATAAAATAATGCCTTTAAAGATACATGTTGAAGTATTTAGGGATAAAATATTAGTGGTAAGTTTTCTGGAACTCAGGTATAACATGTGCAGCTTACTTTCAATAGGTTCAGCAAGGACAACAAAGGGTGCGTGTTAATTTTACACAAATTTTACAGAGTGTCATAGAGGGTCACATGTCCTAGGGTTAATCATTTGGAAACTGCTGAAGGGCACCTGAGTTCCTGTCACTGTTCCTTTAGCTTGTCAATAGTCTTTACATTTTCAGAATAAGCTGTTTGAGAAAAAGCAGCACACACTTGTGTGAACACAGCCTTGAACTTATGTGAGGTGAAGTCCTTGGTGTCAATCTTCCCTGAACAGAGTACAGCTTTTGTTCCTCTCTTCTGTGACAGATGTAGTGATTCTACACTATTTTTACAAGGGTCTGATTTAAAGATAAAGCTGGTAACACTTTGAACAAAAGGACTTTTTCCATTATAAACCACATATAAAAGTGTGTATAGTTTTCTATGGCTGACCTGGCACTGAAAATTTAATTAGGTCCTGAGTTAAGGCCTCTAGTATCTCAGCGACTATTCACTTCCCTAGCTCTTCCATGCTATCTTCTTTTCCTAAACTAATCTTACAAAGAGCAGAGATTTCACTACTATAGCCTTTCTGGCCATTTCTAAGATGAGCATCAAGGAGCATCTTGTTCTGTTTCTTCATAACTCCTTGGCATTCATAGTGCAGTTAATTAAGTGATTAGAGTTTTGTACCTATTGCATGGTTAATAGGAATACCATAAAAATGGGGGGGGGGTTCATTCATTTATGACACTGGAAATCAAATAGTGGCCTATTATATGCTGGGCAAATACTACATCACTGAGCTACACCTCTAACCCTATGACAGTTTTTTTGTTGTTGTTGTTGTTTTGGTCTTTTTGAGACAGGGTCTCCCTGTAGCCCCAGCTGTCTTGGAACTCACTATGTGGACCAGGCTGGCCTTGAACCCACAGAGATCTGCCTGCTTCTGCCTCCTGAGTGCTGGGATTAAAGGTGTGCGCCACCATGCCTGACTATGACATAGTTCTTAATAGCAATATTGAAATATAACACATATGCAAAGCACCCATTCAGTGTGACAGTTCGATGGTTTTCGGTGTATTCAGCCATCCCAATAACTAATTACACAACATTTCCATCAAAAAGACTTAAATTTAGTATTTCTATTTCTGTACTGGTTTTTTACTTGCTTTTGCTGATATTTGCTGCCCACAAAACACTTTTTAAGCATGTACTTTGCCATTTGCTCATAATTTTGTAAAGTACATTGACACCAAGGGATTTATGCTAATATTTGAATTGCTAATATTTGAATTGTGGCTAATTAATTATCTAGGATACAGAATTCCAAGTATTAAGAAATATTTTGACTTTATGTCCTTAAACTGTATAAAATGTATCAATTTTCACATTATTCTAGTTGATAATAATCTTGGTCTTCATGAATGTCCCAGGTACTTTTTCAGGATCTGAACTGGCTCTGTCATTTGACAGTTCTGGAACTCTGGCCTCCTTCTATTCCTGCTGAACTAAATGGATTGCTTCTGCTTTGCCATGAGTTCAGTGTGGATTCTGATCAAGTTGTTTACATGTGTGTGTGATCTGTAGATCATCCTTACTCATGAAAAACTGCAGGATGTTCTTTGTCTAGTTTGGAATTTTGTCCCTCTCTGTGTCAGACACTCACCTGTCATCTTGCTGGGCCTCAGTAACACCATTCACCTTGCTGTGTTTTTTTCCCTTCTGGGTGAGGCAAATAGCACCTGAATACTATGATAAACTCCCTCATCACACTTCCTGGGTGAGAGTACTGTATGATTTTGTGATGGATGACACCACGAGTCCCTACGCAAGGATGAGGTTTCCAAAAGGAAACGAGGTTCTGGATAAATGAATCAATGCTTTCAGAGACAAAGGAATTCCTCTCCAGAACTTTATAATTGCCCCAAATGTGAATCTCTATCTCTCTTCCCTCCCT